CTGTTCAATTATTGTTGGTATTCTATGGCTTACCCCACCAAATACAGTTTAAAACAATGTGGTTTACTCATATCCCTTAGGATTTTTTAAAATGAAATTTTGATAATCTCAAGACACAAAATACTATGAATTTAGAAAAGAATGAATAATAATGCTCAATAGATTTTTAGTTTAAAAAATATTTATCATTCTGAAAAAAAAAAAAAACAGTAGAATAAAGCCATATCTGAAGTAAAAAAGATATCAAGGTAAAAAAAAGATATGAAGACATAGAATTATAATAGAACATTACCTTGAACAAACTTTTCTATTATTTTAAGTATAATAGTTATACTGATTTTTTGCAAATCTCTGTTTACTCTGTTACTTTTCTTTCATGGAACTGATTGTATTTTAACACACAGGACTACATATAAAATCATAATGCCTAGAAATATGTTGCCATCAGTCAAGAGCAATGTTCTTTACTTGCTGATCATCCAATTTACATGGTCCCTGATACCAGGAAGAGTAATAACCAAGGAAGCAAATATGTTCTCTTTTCCTTTAAATGCTATTTAATGATAATACCAAGGTCCACGGTTTGATCTTTGTACTGACAAAAAAAAAAAAAAAAAAAAAAAAAAAAAGCCTATTCAGTGTGGACTATCTTTTTAAAATTCCAGGACACAATAGGGTTTTCTTTTTATAAATCAAACGGATTTTTATATTTGTTACATTGCTACTACTGACTTTATAAAAGCCATAGCTGTTGCATGAATGTGTAATTTTTTAATAACGAAAGATGATCAGGGAATATTAATTTAAGGTAAAAAAAACAAAATTATATCATGTGAGATTTTGATTTGTTTTCACCACTATTGTTATACTTCTAAAAAAGGATCACACAAATTATAGTTTTAAAAAAAATCCCCTCATGTACTCAGATTTCCCAGTACCAAGTTTCACTAATAATATGTTCTTTCAGCAAAAATAAGTTATTTTTAGTACACATAGCATTTAAATTATTTTTCAAAAATTAAAACATCATAGTTATAATTGTAGAGGTCTTTCACCTCCTTGGTTAAGTTTATTCCTGGGTGTTTAATTTTTTTTGGTAGTTATTGTGAATGAGATCACTTTCTTGATTTCTTATTCAGCTATTTTGTTATTGGTGTATAGAAAGGCTACTGATTCTTGTGTGTTGATTTTGCATACTGCTAACTTTACTGAATTTATTTATTAGTTCTAAAAATTTTTTGGTGGAGCCTTTAGGGTTTTCTATGTATATGATCATGTCCTCTGCAAATAGGGATAGTTTGACTTCCTCCTTTCCAATGCGGATGCCCTTTATTGCTTTCTCTTGCCTTATTGCACTGGCTTATAACTTCCAGTACTCTGTTGAAGAAGAGTGGGGAAAGTGGGCATCTTATGGAAACTTATCTTGTTCCAGATCTTAGAGGAAAAGCCTCCCATTTTTGTCCACTCAGTACGATATTAGCTGTGGGTTTGTCACATATGGCCTTTATTGTGTTGAGGTATATATTCCTTCTATACTAATTTGTTGAGCACTTTAATTGTGAAGGGGTGTCAGGTTTTATCAAATGCTTTTTGTGCATCTATTAGAATGATCATATGGCTTTTTTCCTTCATTTTGTTGATGTGATGTATCATGTTTATTGATTTGCATATGTTGAACCATCCTTGCATCGCTGGGGTGAATCCCACCTGATCATGGTGAATGATCTTTTTAATGTGCTGTTGGATTCTGTTTGCTAGTATTTTATTGAGGTCTCACACCTGTGTTCATTAGGGATATTGGTCTGTAGTTTTCTTTTTTCTGTTGTGTTTTTCCAGTTTTAGTGTGAGGTTAATGTTGGCCTTATAGAATGAGTTTGGAAGTATTCCTTCCTCTTCAATTTTTTGGAAGAGTTTGAGAACTCATATTAGTTCTTGTTTAAAAGTTTGGTAGAATGTGGCAGTGAAGCCATTTGGTCCTGGGGTTTCCTTTGTTGGGAGATTTTTTTATCACTGCTTCAATCTCATTACTTATTATTGGTTTGTTTAGGTTTTCTAGTTCTTCATAATTTGACCTTGGTGAGCCGTATGTGTGCAGGAATTTATCTCTTTCTTCTAGGTTTTCCAGTTTGTTTGCATATAGTTGTTCATAGTAGTCTCTCGTGAAACTATAAAACATTGGTGAAAAAAAATGAAGAGGACACAAATAAATGGAAAGATATACCATGTTTTGGGGTTGGAAGAATTAACATCATCAAAATGTCCATATTTCCAAAAGCAATCTACACATTAAATGCAAATCCCTATCAAAATACCAATGACATTCTTTACAGAAATAGAAAAAAAAAAAAAAAAAAATCTTAAAATTTGCTTGGAACCACAAAAGACCCCGTATAGTGAAAGCAATCTTGAACAAAAAAGAACAAAGTGGAAGTCATCACACTTTCTTACTTTCAAATAGACTGTAAAGCGATAGTAACCAAAACAGCATGAAACAAACAGATAGACCAATAGAACAGCATAGAGAGCTCAGGAACAAACCCAAGCACTTACAGCCAACTGATTTTTGACAAATATACCAAGAATATTTGGGGGAAAGGACAACCTCTTCAATAAATGGTGCTGGGAAAACTGGATATCCACATGCAGAAGATTGAAACTAGACCCTTATCTCTCACCATACACAAAAATCAATTCAAAATGAATTAAAGACCTAAATTTAAGACCTGAAACTATTAAACTATTAGAAGAAAACACGGGGAAATGTTACATGAAATGATAATGGGCAGGACTTTTTTGAATGAGACCATAAAGGTACAGATAACTAAAGCAAAAATACACAAACAGGACTATATCAAACTGAAAAACTTCTGCACAGCAAGGGACACTATCAACAAAGTGAAGATACAGCCTACAGAATGGGAGAGTTTGCAAACTATGCAACAAACAAGGGGCTAATATCCAGAGTATATAAGGAACTCAAACAACTCAACAGCAAAAAAATAACCCAATTAAAAAACGGGCAAATGACCTGAACAGACAAATGGCCAACAAGCCCATGAAAAAAATGCTCAAAATCACTAGTCATCAGGGAAATGCAAATTAAAACCCACAATGAGGTATCACCTCATTCTAGTTAGAATGGCTGTTACCAACAAGATAGAAAATAACAAATGCTGATGAGGATGCAGAGAAAAGGGAAATCTCCTACATTGTTGTTGGGAATGTAAATTGGAACAGCCATTGTGGAAAACAGTATGGAGATTCCTCAGAGAACTAGAAATAGATCCATCTTATAATCCAGGTATACCACTACTGGGTATATACCCAGAGGAAATGAAATCAATATATCAAAAAGACACCTGCACTCCCATGGTCATCTTGGCACTATTCACAATAGCCAAGAGATGGAATCAACCTAAATGCCCATCAATGGATGAATGGATTAAAAAACTATGGTATATATACTCAATGAAATACTATTCAGCAATAAAAAGAAATGATATCCTATCATTTGCAGCAACATGGATGGAAATGGAAACCATCATGTTAAGTGAAGTTAGACACAGAAAGAAAAATACCGCATGATCTCAATCATATGAGGAATCCTTAAAAAAAAAAAAAGGGGGGTTCTCATAGAAGTAGTAGAACTAGAGAGTATAATAACGGTTACCAAGGGAGAGGGGGATAGGGGAAGGTTAACTGGTGAACCAATGGGTACAAAACTATGTTATCCACTCTAAGTGAATCATTGTGCAATATGTGCATGTATTGAAACAATGCACTGTGCCCCCAAAATACGTACAAACGTTAAAAAATAAAAATTCTTGAAAAAATGTGAAACTTCAGTTTGGAATGTTACAGTTCAAACTAAGCAGCAGTTCAAAATGTAGTTTATATTTGCTTTAAAAAGAAGTATAAAAAGAGTAGCAACTGATTATATTCTTATCTGGAAACCCGTTTTAAAGAACCTAAGCAGAATAACTGCTTAAATGTAAATGGTAAACAGAGAATGGATAACCACCTATGAAAAACGCCATAGAAGGATATTCTGCAGGGTTTGGAGGTTAGACTAGTGTTCAACAATTTCTAAATCCCCTCGTATTCCAAAATTCTATAATTGTATGGTTCTCCTAGCAGTTCTATTATTAAGAAACAATTATTTCTTGCCAGGACAGCCAGATTATGTCACACATAAATGGAAATTTTAGTATCTTCCTATATGTGCTTAAAATAAATTTCAACTTTGAGTATATGGTGCAATTCACATGGGTCTTCTTCCCATTTATTCCAGATCAAAACCTTGTCCCTGTTTCAGACTGAGTTTCACCATGCTTGAGAAGGACCTATTTTAGCTTAAATGTTCTATTTTTTTGATGTTATAAACAATAGATTAAATAAATTTTAAAAATATTCAATAAATGTTACATCTCAAATTCAGAAATAAGAACCTGCATCTCAAACTGTGATAAATTATTTAAATGCAAGCAGTTGGTATATATGCTGCTTGCTCAGTTCTCTCCAAATGGGGATTTATATCTGTTATGAAAAGAAAGTAGCTTCAGGTTAAATAATAATGCTAAGATGCTATGTAATTATGATATTTATAGACTGAATTCTTGGTTCTGAGGACATGCACACACAGCAATTGCTCTTTATGTAGAAGACAATTTAGGTTGAAGATATATACTTTGCAAAATATTTACCCACATATCCTCCAGGAATTGCTTGAAAAACATAAAAAACATATAAACGAACTACTTGAAGACTTTGTATCTTCTAAAAACAGTTATGAGTTCCATGCATAACCAGTAAAATTACTGTGATTCATTAGAATTAGTTCTAAATGATGCGATCAGACTATGGAAGTTTAAGTAACCTTCTCATCATTTTTACTATTTTTGAGATACTGGCTCATAAAATACCAAATCTCTATGAATCAAAGTGCTACCCACTGGCAGCATGGCAGTGAATTACAATGAAAACAGGTCTACAAAAGACACTTTGAACATTACTGTTTCACATCTTTAATGCCGTCTTAAAAGGTCTATTACTGTTCAACTATCTCAGTGTACTTAGAAATATAAAAGTAATAATTATAGTAGAAACAGTTATTCTAAATCTAAATAGATAATTCCTATAGTGATATTTATTTACTTAGAACATATTTTCATTTCAAATATATGTAGAATTTCCCACAAAGTCAGAAAACTCACAGTTAAACAGAAACCTTGTGTTTAAATATCAATATTCAGTAAAAACAAACACTATGTATTAGGTTGGTTTTGAATATAAATCACTCATTTAAGTAAATGAGATATAATCTCTAACTTGTGTTAAAAGTGAATAATTTATGTGAAGCCTTGACCTGAAGAATTGGTTAGTCAAGTGAAAGACTACTTTATTTTGATACAAATCAAACTCTTACTAACAACAAAACTTTTGTGAGAGATTTGGATGCATATAAACTACAGTTGGGGAACAGGATGTCCTTTAGTCATGGGGTAATGAGGAAAAAGCATATCATTCACAAGGCTTCAATTTTTATGACTTCATTGATAACAATGCCTTGTTTATTGAAGAATGTTTCTTCCACTGAAGATACACTTCTGATACCATAATGCTAGACAGTGGGGGAAAAAAAGAAGGGCCTATTTTTTAAAAATCCACTTTATAAAGTTACTTATTAATATGCAATGACTCTTCATCTTCTGCTCTGAAGACAACCAAAATCTTTTTTTTCAAGTATTAACTTGTCAATTTATCCTCAGTAATTTGGAAAGATGAATGAACCTTTTGGGTTTACAAATAAGAATGTGTGAGTAGATATACTGAGAAGTTATGCCCCAGGATATGACTCATACTTCTCATATAAAATATAATAACTAAGTTCTCTTAATAAACAGCATTAAGTTTAAATTTTAAAATTACATCATCTTTACTGCATGGTTCTCATTCTCCTTACTTTTTATTTTTACATTATTTGTATAAATACTCAAAAACCAAAAATCTCCAGTCTCAAAACCAACTTACATTGGAAGTCTGAGGTTAGTTTATAACTTTTAAAATATTTTGTTAAAATGTAAAAACCCTGAAATTGCAAACAAAAAAATTTACAATTTTACAGTATATATCTAATTTATTTTTTAAAAAATATTCTGAATTGTTTTTACACAAGTAATCAAGTGTTATTTTTCAAATGAAACTCCTTTATAGGCTAGAAGAGGATATGTGTATTGACCCATTAAAAATCAATACACATTTCATATTTTTATGCTGGTACTTCAACTATTTCAAAGTAGTCATTTGGTAGAATCACATAACCTCTTTCTGATACATCGTCTTTCTCTTTCTGGAAATGCACAACCTCCTTTAATTTCTCAAGCTGTCGTTCTTGTCTTCTGCATCGCTGTTGTGCAGTTTTGAGCTTCTTTCTGAGTTTTTCCACTTGTTGTTCTAGCTGATGAATCCTTTTCCTCTGGTGCATTGTATCCTCCACAGTATAGTTGTGGTCACAGAAAACTGAGAGATTATCAGGGGTCTGAAGAGGAGGCATTAGTAATCCAATAGCAGCATCGACCTGGGAAATGGGAGGTGTTAAAGGAGGCGGGGGAAGCTGTTCTTGTGGCTCCAGAAGATCTTCCTTCTAAAACAATAAAGGAGAAAGTGTGTTTAAATTTATTTACTAAAAATAATAGTTTAAAAGAACTAACCTGTGGAATTTAAGAAATATTAGACTTTTTTTGTGAATGCATGGTATAGAAACCTTCCAAAATGAGAAAATAATTTCAGCTTTAATTTAACTCTTCTACTTCAAATATAAGTGGTAAGCAAGAAAGAGACAAATGATTAATTAGATTTAATTAAATACTAAGCACCTAAAACTTGGGAGAAAAAATACTTTGAAATGAATTGTTACTGAATAAGAAAACCCAAAACTTATCAACATACAGGTAGGGGTAGAGAGTGATCTTTTTAAATAAGTTACAATGCCAGACTGAGTTTCTTAAAGGATATTTAACTTTAATAAAATGCATTTTGCATTTTTAAATAGTTTATCTCTATTAACAGTGGTTATTTACAAGTGATAAGCTCCAGGTACATTTATTTTCTTAACAGTACATTGATTTTTCTAAATTTTCTATAACAAATACACTGATTTTATAAATAGAAAATAACCCAATGTTTTAAAACACATATTACAATGGGCTGGTGAGTTAGCTCAGTTGGTTAGAGTGTAGTGCTGATAACATTAAGGTCAAGGGTTTGGATCCCCATACCCACCAGCTGCCAAATAAAATAAAATAAATAAAACACATATTACCTTATCATGCGGTTCAGTGCAAAGAAATATTGTAGGTACAGCATTCTCTTTCAGCAACTTGTTGTTGCACTCCCTCTTGAAGCAATCTGGAGTAAAGTGTTCTGAACAAATACTGCTATACTTGGTGGGCTTAAAGTTTTTTCTTCTCACAGCTGCCTCCCATTGTTTACAAAGACTGGGTCGAGTAAGAGGAAACCTAGGAAGATGACATAAATTCAGTTCTCTGACCTTATTTTTTTAAAAAGAGCGGGAGCACCCAAACTTTCCTGCTCAGGAAAGAACTATCTTACATTGGTGTCAACATACTAAGGAATATTTGATTGAAGACTAATTCCAGTTATCTGTTTATCTCATTTATTAATATTTAACTTTTTATATTGAGGACACTAAAAGATTCAAGTAAATTATACACTATAGAATGAATCTGTATTCATATTTACCAGTAATTTTCTGTGTGCTGCACAGAAAAAAAACATACATTTACTTGGAAAAAAGAGGCTTTTAATTTTCTTAGAATCAGTCTGACAAACACAAACAGGCAAAATTTAATCAAATTATAGGCAAATAATGATAAAGAAGTAAATTATTTATTTTGATTTATCTCTTAATAACTGGGATAGGTCCATTAGGCCCAGGTAAAGGGAAGTAATTTAAATTTAAGCTGGGGGCATTAGGAAAAAAGCCAAAGAAGGATGTTTCAAATCTGTGTTCCAAGGTTTCTCTTCCATATAAGGTACACTGCGGCCTGACTCTGCTATTATCACGAAGATCTAACCCATCTTTACGACAGTCCCTCTTCTCTGCACAGCATAGCCCTCTCCACTGCCACTATGTAGAAGAGAAAAGAGACTCCTTAGAAAACCCCTGCTGCAAACGGGCTCTATAAGTACAAACTGTGGTAGCTAATCCCTGGTAAAATCCAGTGGCGAGGACCTCCCAGCCTAAGTACCACAAATTCACAGCTGTTTGTGAGGTTCTGTCAAAATCTTTTCCATCTACTCCCTCCAAAACTGTCCCTTCAGATAAGGGATAAGATGCATGTTAGCCCTTCTTTTGATTACTCAATTGTTTAACATCCAGCAGAAACACAGTATTTTTGATGTGTGAATATCGCCCTTAATTAGTTTCCAGTGCCAATGAAGCATTTTCCATATTTTCAGATTCCCTCTGCCATGCCATTAGAAACATGGGAAGCTGAATGCATATGAGGTGTCACCTACACTTTCAAAGTACATTAGTTTTCAGAAACCCCAATACATCAAGAGATAATATTAGGATACAACGAACTGAATCCTGTAAGTGTTCTATCCCCTTCTTTGTGGGGAAACACCAACACTCTGGTAATCTATGTTCTACCACTCTTATTTCTGTAGGTTCCAGCTCACATTTTAGGAAACATAGAAAAATGCATCCATATTCCCTATTAAGCATAAAAGGCCCCCACACACACCAAAACTCACATTTTAGGAAACATAGAAAAATGCATCCATATTCCCTATTAAGCATAAAAGGCCCCCCCACACACCCCCCAAAAATTGAAGATTTAAAATTTTGCTTTTGTGATGAATAACTCGCATAATTTACCACTGGATCTTATTTCTTAGCTGTCAACCACGTATAGTCGGGAATTCTCACCGACAATAAAGAAAACCTACCGTAAATGTAATAAAATTTATTAGCACTGAGTTTGGCTGAATGAAAATGTCATCGTGTCACATTTTGCAGACGTTTGATTGGCATTAAGTAATTTCAATTTTGCAGCTTTCTTTCCCTATTTTCAAGAGACCATTTTTCACCCTAGGACTCTAACTGCAGCCTGAAAACCACGGGGCAGGTTCTTCTGTAAGGATTTCCTCTGCACGCCCATCGTAGCTCATATTGATCCTTATTATGGCACTTGGCTATGATCCATGTTATTACTGACATCATTGCTGTGTGCTGAAAAGACAACCATTCGTCTTGGCGGTATCAGAAGCTTTCTCTAAAACTTACGGGTCCTAAAAGGTTGGTTCCTAGAAATTGGGTCAAAGAATCTTCCCTGATATCCTGGCCAGAAATCAATCCTTAACTGTTATGATGCTGGTTTCCCATCCACAGCAAGGACGAAAAATAGCGACGATTTGGTCTTTTCAAAAGTCATTGTTTCTAACTTCAAATGTACCCCTAAAGAGTTATTACCTCCCGGCTTCTCTACGACCCTGAGGGTGGCGGGATCCAGGGGACCGAGGGGCCTCCAAGGACCGCCCGCGGGCGCAGAGCTCGCCGAGCCGAGGCCGTGAGCGAACCTCGGGGCCAGGGTCCGCTTCTCGGGCGCGGGAAACGGTCGCCGTCCCGGCCGAGCACACGCAACGCGGAGGGGCGCGGGCTCCAGCCACGGTGCTCCCGTGGGACCCCGCCCCGCCCCGAGGCTCCGCCCCCTGCCCGGGTCTCGCGCGGACACGCGCCTGGCTCCGCCCTCAGACTAACCGGCCGCGCGCCCCGGCCCAGGTGGGACGGTCCCGCGAGGGGCGCGGGTACTTACTTGTGGAAAGAAACAGGCTTATCCTTATCGTATCGGTTCTTGCAGCCGTAGGCGGAGCAGGACTGCACCATCCTTCCAGTCCTCAGTTACTTCGCTTCTGCCGCCCCAGAAGGCAGGTGAAGCGGCTCTCAGTGTCTCGCGCTTGGCTTGGACACCCTCGCTTCTTCTGTAGTATTGATCAACAGTTACAGTGATGACGGCCTCACTCGAGGCAGACTAATGTGCCCGTTTTATTGTTTGCATTAGCAGAAGGACCACAGCCATCGCCTATCTCCCATCTCCAAGATGGCGGAGACAGCTTCAACCTCACCTCTCGCGAGGAGTTGGTCCCACTGTCTCTGGATCAGCCCCGAGGTCAGAGGTAACGTTTCCTGGGCAGCAGGCCATTGGCTGAGGCCAGGCGTATCCTGCGGCGGGTTCGGCGTTGCGGAAGCGGGCGGGGCCTCTGGGCTTCCGGCGGGAGAAGGGGACGCACCGGGGCGGAGAGGCCTAGGTTCGGCCGGCTTCGGCCTGCGGTGGTGGCCCCGTGGGTTAATTTATCCGGAGCTTTCCTGCGGAGCTTTGCGTGGGATATAAATGCGGCTGGCTAGGCCTGGTGGCCTGTAGGCGACCTGTGAGGCTGAGGTCGTCCTTTGACCGCTCGCATTTCTTTATAAGGGTGGCCATAGATGGCATATGATTTGTGAAACTTCGTGGAGGCCGTTCCCCGACCGCCGATCTATAGCCCAAGTTCTGTGAGAGCCCAGGGTTTTTTTTAGCACGTCCCTGTTCTAGTGAAATCTTGCACTTATCTCTGTAAACAGTTGTGAACCATATCGTAAGGTCTGTATGTGTGACTTCGTCATCAGAACTGAGGTGCTGTTGAGAACAGGGATTGTGGCTTTGTTAACCTCCTAACCCCACCTGCTTGCAGTGTCTGGCATAAATTAAGTATTCAGAAAATGCTGGTTGAATCAAGTGATTAATCAAGTTTAACTTAGAGTTCACCGAAATTTTTATCAATTGATTCAACAAATATTTTCTGTACATCTATGTTCTACTCACAGTTCTGGGGGCGTGGGATACATTAGTGAACAAGACAAAGGTTTCTTCCCTCATGGAGCTAATATTCTTGTGGGAGCTAAGGAAGGCAGGTAGAAAATATATGACCTCATGGTATGTTGTAAGGTGAAAGGTGTGAGGACGCGAGGGGATTGCAATTTTAAATTCGATTGGCAGGACAGACCTAATAGAGGAAGTGACTACTGAGCAAAGATTTGGAGTTGGTTGAGAGAGTTAGCTATGAGGAAATCTGGAGAAAAATTTGCAGTTGGAGGGAATGGCTACGGCAAAGCTCCTTAGGCTCAGTTTTCCTGGCCTGCTAAGAGAACGCAGAGGTCAGTGTAGCTGGAGCAGAGTGAGCTGGGGGGACAAATATAAGATGAGGTTAGAAAACGAGGGGACAGTATCATGTAGGGTCTTGTAGGCTAGTGTAAGGACTTCAACTTTTGAGCAGAGTGACATTTTTTTTTTTTTTTTTTTTTTTTTTAAAGATGACCGGTAAGGGGATCTTAACCCTTGACTTGGTTTTGTCAGCACCACGCTCACCCGGTGAGCAAACCGGCCATCCCTATATGGGATCCGAACCCGTGGCCTTGGTGTTATCAGCACCACACTCTCCCGAGTGAGCCACAGGCCGGCCCAGAGTGACAGTCTTTTAAAATGATCATTCTGTTGTGCTGACTATAGATAGCAGGAGGCTGGGAGACTGGCTAGAAGACTTCTGGGGTAATGTAGGTGAGAGGTGATGGTGGCTTAGACCTGGGTGGTAGCAACAAAGAAGTAAGGAATAAGAAGTGACTTTTCCTTGTCTCTTCCCCCTTCCTGTTTTTCCTTTCATTTATTTAATCTTTACTGAGCACCTACTATGGTGGCAGGTATTATGCTATGTGGGTATATATTGGTGAGCAAGACTAACATATTCCCAGTCTTCATAGAGCTTATATTCTAGTGAGGGGAAGACAGACAAGAAAAATGTAAATAAAATAAAATTGTGCTAAGATACCTGAATACATCAGAATGCTGTAAGGGTGAATAAGGGGATGGGGAGGGTTACTACCTACTTTAGCTAGGGTAGATGGGTAGTCTGTGCAAGGAGGGAATATTTAACCTGAGAACCAAAGGATGGGAAAAAAATCTAGAAATGTCAAGAATGGCAGAGTGGGGACGGGGCAGGGGCTGGAGGGAGCATTCTAGGCACAGGGAATGTGTGCTAAGGTCCTGACTTATGTCTGACAGTACAGGCAAGAAAAAATTGTGTGTTTTCCAGGAACTGGGTGGAGGCTGTAGTGGTACAGCCCAGTGAGCCATGGGGAGAAAGGCATGAGTGAGGTTGAAGGTTTAGATTTAAGTGCAGTGGGAAGACACGGAACCATGTTAGACAGGGGAGAGACACGACCTAATAAACAATTTTTTTTTTTCAAAGGGATGACCGGTAAGGGGATCTTAACCCTTGACTTGGTGTTGTCAGCACGACACTCTCCAAGTGAGCTAACTGGCCATCCCTATATAGGGATCCGAACCGGTAGCCGTGGTGTTATCAGCACCACACTCCCCCAAGTGAGCCATGGGACGGCCCCTAATAAGCAATTTTAAAAGGTCATTCTGACTATTGTGTGAAGAGTTTATCAGAGAGGGGTGACGATAGTGCAAGTGAACAGATCAGTTAAGAGGCTGTCGCAGGCAAAGGAGCCTAGCCGATTTCTAAGGCCCCTTACTACCTTAATATGCTAAGATTAGTGAAAAAAGATTAGGGCAATTTTCATGTAGATACAAACTTTTGGTTTTCTCTAAGACCTATTAGAAGAGGGTTACTATTTTGATCTGAGAGGTATTTTTAGTTTGTTTTTTTTATTTGAAAACTAATTAAAATCTAAACTTTTAGAAGTCAGTGACTTTAAAATATCTTTAGCCCTAATCCTCCCCTACACATACTACATTCCCTCAAACGGCCTACAGCTACATACCACTAGTCTCAATAAGAACAGTAAGTAAGGACAGTGTCCGAACATACTCAGTGTTTTCCAACACGGCGTTTACTCCTCTCGTGTGCCATTCTGGGACATGGGACAAGTCCAATGATGCAGGTGGATGAGGAAGACAGTGACTGATAACACCTGAAATCCCTCAAATCTGCTTGTAGTCAATAAGATGTTGTGACACCAAGGTCAAGGGTTCAGATCCCCATACTTGCCAGCTGTAAAAAAAAACCCAAACCAAACCAAACACAAATATTGATGCCATGAAGATGGTCTGGTTCTGACAGAACAAAAAAGCTCAATGATTATATTTTCCTCTGTGATATTATTGCCTCCTGTTAACAGCTCTTAAAGTCTATTGGCCTGGTTCCTACTCCAACCTAGTCCCAGGTTTATGGGTTGCTGTTTAGTAAAATGGAAGGGCCTGGAGGACATTTAGTGTTTAAAATGCAGGAGAGAGGAGGAGAGGGCAGTGATGCAAACATGAGGGCAAAGACTCAGAAAGCTTCAGTTATCAAATATATAATTTAAATATAGTCAAAATAAATGAGGGTGGCAAATCACTGTATAAGCCTAATCTCTAATCTAAATTTCACCATTATTGTCCAGAATTAATATAGATTTCCCAGATTAAACACTTTTCCTTAAAAACAAAATACTTAATTCTTTTCTACTTTTAAAAATATTTAAGCAAAATAATTAGAAATATGATGAGATACTAGATGCCCATTAGTGATAAAGGCATTGTAACCATTATACTGAATGCTCTTTCAGGAGCTGTGAATTTTAAAGCAAACAATATTTAAAAACCAGAAAAATAACACCTTAACATTGTTTTAGATATATTGCTTTTATTCAGAAGAATAAAATGCTCGACAAACTCCTAAATCACAAATATTGAACTAAACCATCAATCCTTTACAACTCTGTGAGGTAGGTATCTGCACAGCCACAAGGGATCAGCACAAGTCCTTTCTTCCCTGTTCTTGAATGCTGAGAATTGTAGTAGTTGAAATCACTGTCCTAGTGGGCAGTTAGAACAGTTGTTTCCTCTGTTTTGGTCCACACAGAGCTGCCCAAATTATTATCTGCTCCTGGGGCCGGGCCATCTGTTTTTATGAGTTACAATATCGTTGTTTTAAAAAATCCAGATTGTTGCTTTGATTTATATGCTCTAACTCTGAACCACAGAAGTATTACTGTAAATGATGTTTAAAACACTGATTGACTCTACTTGTTTTAAATACTGTTTGATCCCTTCTGCATCTACTATCACTGATCTGTAAAGATTGACCTAACGAGTGGATCTAAAACTCTGAGATGTCAGCATGTTCTCTTTTCAATTTAATAAGATTTCAGATCATAGTGTTTTTATATGTAACAAACTTTGGTACAAAACATCTCTACCAAGAAAGTCTTAGTAGTAAAATTGTTGTAACTAGAAATGTGACATTTGTCGCAGAACACATGCACAGAAAATAAAATCCTTTCAAAAAACATTGCTATAGCCCTATACCAACTTTATAACTGGTAGTAAATGCATTTCCAGTCTGGAGGTATAACAAACTCCTACTCAGCTTTTCAAGTTGGTGACCAGCTGAGATGTTTTTCTATGACGTATGCCACCCTATTACACTACATTTGGAAGTGTAGAATTAGGACTCATGAAGTCTTCATGTGTCATCTTTTCTAGACCCTTCCTTTTAGGAGCACTTAAACTGTCTTACTCCAATGAAGAAATAATGTATTATGAAAAACTTCCAAAGGATCCCAGTTTCTCTCCTGCTTCTCCTCTTCATAATAATCTTCATGTCTATCTCAACATCCTATGCAAGATTCCTACTAAGAGTTTATACCATATAATCACTTACATATTAAGTGACTTCAGGCAAAAACCAAAAACAAAAAAACTGATAGCATGGGGATTTTTTCTGTGAAAAGGAAGGTGATGCTCTGCCTTCCTCACAAAATTATCCTAAGGATAAAATGAAAAGTATATGAAAAATTGCTTTAATTATAATGTGCTATGTTTAAGCATTATTGCTTTTCTCTATGACAGGCAACAGCTTTTCCTAGGTCCAAATTAGAAAACACAAATTGATATTTCATTCAGGATCTCATTAGTCGACAGCTAATCTGATTAACTTGGGAGAATGTGACAGATCTTCTCAGTACATCCCTGCACATAGTGAGGCTCACTAATGCATTAATGGATGCTATCACTGGTCATGGGTGACAAAGCTAACACTACCTCCCAGGCACTGACTGACACCCACTGTCCTAGTTCACTAAAGCTGTGCCAGCTGAAGTGAGTATGGATCTCCTCATGCTTGTGGTATTGATTCTTCTCAAACAGAACACTGCAGAAGAGAGCATCAGATACTTGTGCCAAAGCCATCAGAAAAAAACACAGTAACTTCCCTGTCCAGTCGCCTCAGACACATTCACTCATTCTGTACAAGACAGGATGGATCTGCTACCATCTTGACACAGTCTTCTAAAAGTTTTCTGACAATGGAAAACTGGCCAAATGTGTCCATTCCGTTGTTGGAGCTAACCAGTAATTTCTCTTGTCAAATTTAAATAATGTTCCTAGTACCTTCCTAAGGGCTTTGATGCATATAGACATGAAGATCTGCTTTCTCCAGAAATGTGCCAATCCTAAAAAAATTCCCCTTTACAAGTTACTTTTATATCAGTTCTTATAAAAGGATCAAACTCTTGCAGCTAACTAGCCAGCCCTCCTGTTTAAATGTCATAACTGTGAACATCAAGTGTGCTGATGGGAGGTAAGTGTTTCTCATCCTGCTAATTCTTCTACTGATTAAAAAGTGTTATGTAAACCAGAAGATGGAATCAAATGATAAAATTCAAGTTTCTTCTTTCAGTTTCAGCTGATAACAAAGAATTATATCAGAGTGAAAAAAGCAGAACTGCTCCAAATACACACAATTTAGATAGTGTTAAAAGAAACACTGACTTTTCCCCAATACTGTATAATATTTTATTGTAACAAAAATATTTAGATGAGTTTCATAGCTAAATATTATCATATAGATACCCATTGAGCAGGCTAATAAATTGTACATTTAACAATACCTGACTATATATCCAATTAATCTAAGTAATTTGGGGGAAAAGAAAAAGATATAAAAACATCCCTTTTTATATAATTCCATATTTTTTCCAGAGACTTTATAGACAACACAGAATCAAGAAAACTGTAGATCATTATAATTTTAGAAGTTGCAACATGTAAAATTCCAGTTATAGCTTGTATATTGCTAGCATATAATCAAATGTTTGTCATATTATAATTCCATATTTTTTCCAGAGACTTTATAGACAACACAGAATCAAGAAAACTGTAGATCGTTATAATTTTAGAAGTTGCAACATGTAAAATTCCAGTTATAGCTTGTATATTGCTAGCATATAATCAAATGTTTGTCATATAGTAGTTTTAAGCTTGTAAGATAATATTCAGATGTTTTATACCACCATGGGTCCTGTTTGATTTTATATACTAGCTCAGATATTCTAGTAAATTTATTTTTTTCATCTGGTTAGCCTTTGGGTTATCACTTCTCGATACATAATAGAGATGTAGATAAGCAACAAAAAGATGACAAAGAAATCATCTAGAAAACCTAGAATTCCAAACAAGGCTTCAGGTACAAAATCTAGAGGTGATATAAGATAGAAAAAAGCTCCCATTAAACAAAGTATTATCCTAATGCGGAACATCCAGAAAAGGCCCCCAACTGAAAACATTTCCCTGAATGCATGCCTCAGTAAAGTGGGTAGATCCATAATTCTTTCCATAATCTGGTAATGGAAAAAACAAATATTATGATTTAGCATTTAATATGTCAGATTTCAAAATCATTTTCTTAAAGTGTGCAAACTCAGTTAAGATGAATTAAGGAGTTTTACATATTGATTGGACATCATATTTTCTAATTATGCATTTTATTTAAAAATAGTTCTTTATAAGAACTAAGTTCTTATAAAATAGGTCTTATTGCAGATAACTGAAAAGCAATCAGAGTGCCAACAGCTTAAAATATAGGATACAGTAATGCAAAACTCAAGTTATGTCTAATTTGAGTTAGTAAAATCAACCAAACCAAGAACCTAACTATAGAGGATTACAGTCTGAAGCTTGAGCTCAAGTCTCATCTTTAAAGTCAGTCATCTCTGGGTTTGAACTCAAAGTTAATCCCTTATTAGCCAGGTGATCTTGGGACAGTTGTTTAACCTATTAGAGATAATTCAACAACTAATTATGTGCCAGAAGGACTATTAAGAACTAAAAGAGATATTATACATGAAAGACCTTTAGAAATTGCTAGACAACATGTAAGTATTATACATCAAAGACACAAACTTTGATGGCTTTAACAGTTTAAGAGTAGTAGTGAACCTGATACCTTTCAGTGAATCACTTCCTGTGGTCATTCCTCTGCCTACAGTTTAGCTATTTTTAACAATCTCTGTAAAAATCATAAATCCAACTCTGGGTATGTATTTTACTTAACAAGTGCCAAATAGTTGAGAAGAGAGATGGAGGGAAAAAATGTGAAGAACTGAGCAATTGAGGAGAAAACAGTTTTAAAAACTCCCCCAGAAAAATAAAATCTTATTGTTAAATCCTTTTAGATAACTGGTCACAAAACAACAAAAATTATCTTTTTAGACTCACTTCCCATGTTAATTTTTTATTCACTATGAAAGAGACTAATATTTAAAACAAAACAGTCTTTTCAGTTATCTGCAATAAGACCTATTTTATAACAAAGTCTATGGTAAATTACTGTAAATATTCTAACGATGAGCCAGTATGTCTTTTGAATACCTTTCTTTCTTTTATCAGAACTATTTTGTTCACTTCTAACATGGTATCATTACTTACACAAAATCTATAATAATTAGAGGCAAGAAATATAAAATGTTTACTAGGAAATTTTTGTATATTAAGCATAACCTTACTCCAACATATCTTTATTATTTTGTAACTTTCTCTCATACCAGCTTTCTTACTCATTAAGTACCATTAAATATCTGACATCTATCAAAGAAATAATAATTGAGCAATGGTATGTTTCACATTTAAAAACATGAATGAAAATCTTTTTTTTTTTTTCCTTTTTGTCTTTTTTCATGACCGGCAATGGATCGCAACCCTCAGTGTCGCGCCTGTACCGGACCAGGACCAGGAACGGGATCGCAACCCTCGGTGTTGCGCCCGCACCTCGCTCAGCCAGTGAGCGGCCGGTCTGTACGTGGGATCCGAACCCTCGGCGGGAGCGCCGTCACACTCCCAAGCGGCGCACTGTAGCAGTGCGCCACCGGGCCGGCCCGAAAATCTTAAAATGATTTTTTTTTTTAAGTCCAGTGGTATTTCATAAATTTGAAATAGGTTGCATTTTCAAGAATCATCCTATAGGTGTTACTGGAAGATATATGAAAAAACTGCTTGATCAACAATAGCAGAAGAGGCTGCCAAGTAATTGTGGAGGACAACAGTGATTGGATTAAGTTTTTCTTACTGCTTAAACACCTAAATAGGTAAATCTACCCATTATCATCCACAACAGTTGAAACTGTATGCCCTCAGATGTACATGGCATCAGAGAATAAGCAACAAGGGAGCACATAAACACATATTTGTTTGATATTGAAGCATTTTAATTGCTTAATATTTTTGGCTGGGAGTAGTAGTATCAATTCTTATCTTCAGGATACTCATTAATTTATTCAACAAATAGTAAGGGTACTTATCCCAGGCACTGAATTTGGTACTGGGAATATAGTAGTGAATGAACACAGTTCTTACCCTCATGAAGCTTTTAGTCTCCTGAGACTAAAAAATAGAGTAAAACACAATTGTAAAACTTTCTCCAGAAGTTTTCAGTCATTTTATGAAAAGTTTTCTCATAAGACAAACTATGTCTTCGAATCAGATAGAAGTCAATAATTTTGTATTTTTCTTTCCAATTCTTCCTATTGCTTTTTTGCTAGTTTCCCTCTCATAAAATCTTTTATAATGCTTTTTTTTGGCGGGGGTGGGGGGTGGGGGTTGTTTTTAACTGTAGTTGTTGGGAAAGCTGTAACTCAGTGTTTGGTAACAGTGAAGGTGAAAACTTGACCCAATACACATAATGAGATTTTTCATAGTCAAGAATACTTGTTGGTAAATCTCACTTTACAAAAGAGTTATATAATGGTTACCTATAACTTTGTACATGCTATATAACATTACTTACAGATCTGGGCTGCCCTGAGAATCTCCGGTTATAATCATTAATTTCTTGATGCAATCTTACAACATCCTGAGACTGATCATCTTCACCAAATACTGTTAGGAGTAAAGTTACCTGTATATTATAGAAAAAATTGTTATACCTTTCTGCATCATTATTTTTTTTCAGTTGTATTATTAGTCAATAAAATGAGGAAAGCTTCTGAATTTATATTTTACTCATTTCTTTTAATAAAGGCAACATGGGGGTTGGGGGGAAGAGGAGTAAGTTATTATTGCCCTCCAATGAAATCCAGTGCAGAATGTAATTTGAACTTCTATAAAATGAAATGGGAACCATATCCAAACACTGGTTCTAGTATTTTCTTGTCCATACCAGGGATAAATTCAGTAGTTCTCTATATGGGCTAAAAGATATTTGAAGATATAAGAATGATGAATAAACATTCAGTAGCAAAGTGACATAAAAATATATACCTATTACTTTGAGAAAGAAAAATTAGGGATGTCTTTTTTTGGTATTAAAACAGTGATTCCTTATTATCCCTAGTATTTGAAATATCTTTGAATGCTAGCAACCATAATATAAAGATTAAGTCACTGCAGGGGCCAGCTCTCAAACACCAATCCCTACTGTAATAATGCAATTCTTGATACTGTTAGAATAACATATGTGTAATCTTGTTTCCTCCATGATCATGGTAAGGAAGACACAAATGTCCCAGGACCATACTGGGATAATCTGAAATAACAATGCCTGGAAAAACAAATACATTTAAAAATATAGCACCCCTATAGAGATAATACAACTCACTGATGAGTTGTATGACTAAGTAAAAGTAAAGAGTAGGGCCTGGCCAGTTAGCTCAGTTGGTTACAGCACAATGTTATGACACCAAGGTCAAGGGTTTGGATGCCCTTAGCCCCCCAAATTGCAGTGACAGATTTAGTTTTAAACCATCTAGCTATTATTTTCCTCCTTCCTCAGTTCAGTTGTAGAACCAGGGCTTCCCACTGCTCAGATGCTTTTCAAACAGCTAAACAAAGGAGTGACTTAAGCACACGAATTGGTAGGAACAGCAGACACAGCCATCTTTCTTCAAAAATGTGTTAGTAAAAATTCATTCTTTCAATAAACTTTAATTGAGCACCTACTATGGGTCAGGCACTGTGCTAAATGTTAGGTGTATCAGAAAAAAGAAGACATGGCCCTGTTCCTGGTTGACCACCATCCAAAACAGAAGGGGAGGCAGACCTATTCAACAGCCAGTTAGATGGCACTGTGGTAGGTGTTGTCACAATGCCATGAGAGTAGGGATCTCTTCTGCCCGCAGTGTCCAGAGAGCATGAAACTTAAGCTAAGCATTGAGATGTCTGTGTGTTAGTGTGTGCCTTCAGAGAGAGAAGTGGTGAGTGTGTTCCAGTCAGAGGCTGCAGCCTGTGTGTTATTTCCATGACTATTTACTAAAGGAGCCCAGTGCAAAAGGAGGTGGAATAGGTACCTGCCACCTGTTTCGCCTCCTGGATGAATTACTCCACTGTTAGGGAACCAAAACTTGTTCTATTAAGACAACTTTATGTTTACCTTACTAGCCTCTAGTCAATTTATGGATGGTACAAAGAATACCACCTGCTAATATACATATGTCTTCGGTAGAGCCAAGAAGAGGCGACAGGTGGTGGAACTAATTCTTTATTGCAAGACATACTACTACTGGTCTTGATGTTGCTAGCAGGTGGCAAAAGATGGTAAGAGGTGGTATTAGTAAATAATCGTCAGTATTGACTGCCTTGTGTCACACATCAAATCAGCCTGAGAGGCAATACCAAAAAAACCCAAACCAGTTTCCTTCTGACCATGTGACAAGTCAAATGTGAAAAAGGCAAAATTTGGGAATGTGAAAGCAAGAACAAAAAAAGAGACCTGGACCTCCCTCTCTGTACCAGAACAAGGAGGCAGTGATGGGGTAAATGGACAACCAGAACAAGGGCTGAAAATATATGTGTGTGTATGTGTGTGTGAACATGTATGTGTATATGCTCACACATATATAAATCAATACATACTGTATGTTTTTATATATATAAAGTCTAAAAAACAGACAAAACCAAACAATAACCTTAGAGATGCATATTGAGGTAATAAAACTATTTACAAAATCAGGGAACTGCTTACCATGGTCAGATAGTAGTTACTAATATGTGAAGAAGCAGGGTCGGGTGGGGTGGAGATTTCGAAGGAGCCCTGGGCGTGGGGGGGGGGGTTCTGGGGCTGTTGGCCAGTTTCTGGTTCTTCATCTGAGTGATGATTACTTGAGTGTTGCTTTGTGCTAACACAATGAGCTGGACTTCTTTGTTTTGTGTTTTTAGTATGTCTGTTATATTTCACAAAGCAGTTTTGAAAAATTGTCACCTCTTCTATGGTTTTGTTTTATTTTTGGGTCTCTGTGGGTTTATGCCTTTATGAAATGCCCTTTGTTGTTTTAGTGGGGTTTTTCAAAGGGAGCAAAAGTAGATATATGCATTCAATTGGACATCTTTACTTGGAAGTTCTCTGTCCTTTTTAGGACTTCCACTTTACATGTTGGAAGACTTCCTAAGGAAACACTGCCTTTTTTACATGTTCATAAATTATCAGAAAGGTATACATAGTAGTTCTCCCTTATCAGCAGTTTGGCTTTCCATGATTTCAGTTACCCGCAGTCAACTGTGGTCCAAAAGTATTAAATGGGAAATTCCAGAAATAAACAGTAAGTCTTAAATTGTGTGCCATTCTGAATAGCACGATGAAATATCACTCTGTCCCTCCTGGGATGTTAACCATCCCTTCGTCCACAGTATCCACGCCATACAGAATGTACATGTACTAAAAAACACAGTACTATGGGGTTTGGTACTGTCTGAGGTTTCAGGCTTCCACTGGGGGTCTTAGAATGTATCCCTTTCAGATAAACAGGAACTACTGTATTTCTAAATGAAAAATAAGAATAAAGGAAATTATAAAAAACTGTACAACTTATAGAATGTCTTTTTTGCTATATTAAAAACTAAGAACTTTGGTTTTTCAGAATTGTTCAGTATTTTGTTTCTCCAGTTTGTCAAAGAAATTGAGAAAATTTGGCACATCTCATTTGTGCTGACATTTTATCCTTTAAGTTTACATTTATAAAAACTACTGCCTTTCTTCAGAGGTGGCTTCTATACCAAGTGTAATGGTCTAATCTGTTCTGGACAATGTAATGTGGCTATGTGTCTAAAAGAAATGAAACATTTAAAAAAATGATTATACATCATTTAAAGCTATCTGGACCCTCACTGGAGATGGGCAGATTAAATATAAATTTAAAAGTTAAAGCTATTTTTTTCAAAATAAATGTATGTAGGAGATATGTGCTTAAGCCTGATTAGCTAGTTCAGTTATTATTATTATTATTATTATTATTTGTTTTGGTATTGCAACAAAGTCTTATTAGGATTTGGGGAAGGATTCATTTATCAGCTGTTTTTGTTTTTGCAACTGTAGGATTTCAAATATAATTCCTTTTTTTTGGTGGTGTCTTGATAGTTTTTTTAAAATAACCAAGTAACATCACAGAAGCTTTGGATAAATGAAGTTCTGCTAAAAATATGAAAATAATTCAAAATTTAGATACAAAAACTGTAAAAATTTAAAAAATGAACTAGCATAAAAGATGCTTTCTGGATATAAAACATTACCGTTTGTCTACAGATTGGACAACTGATTGCCCCAAGCCATGATCCGTAGCGCCAATATGCAATAATGCAGGCACCTAATGGAAAAAAAAATTAATACTTATGCTTTAAAGACCATATATCCTGAGAAAGTTTCAAATATTTGAAATATATTTTAACACTATCATCTTATATAAAAATATTTTTTACTCATCCAACCAACTCTTAAAGCAAATTCAAAACTAGTAGCAATTCCCAGCCATTAAAAAGTATTTTTATTCACACTACTAGTTAAGCTACAGACATTTTCATACAATCAAAAGCAAGTATGCATTAACTGCCTTGATGCTGAGGCTTCAAAGAAAATACTGCATTTCATATGTAAAATAAAACAATAATATCATTGTAAATATGACAGCCACAAATCACAGCATAAACTATCTGTTCTAAATGTGATATTTATGTTACGAAAATACAACTTTTATATTATAGGAGTTTAGAAAACCAAATTACTGAAGTATTAATAATGGTTAAGTAGTATGGGCAAAGAATCAAAGGATACAAAGGAGCGCAGGATCTTATAACACCAAGGGCATGGGTTCAGATCCCTGGGGATTACATGCTCTCTGCCCTAATGAAGTTTATAATCCAGTCCAGTAACTAAATCAACTCCTGTACTATTTTCTGCTGGAAGGTATTCATTAGCAGCAAAACATCTAAAGATGGGCAACCCAGCCTGAAGGAAGAGTTCATATGCCCTCAAGAAGTGGTAGGTGAGCTACGTGCATAGGCAGTAAACTTCAGGACAATAACATGGAAGAATATTTTTTTCCTGCTACCCCAGCCCTGCCTCACCTGACTTTACTCCCTCCTACCCTCCCCGCCCCCACAACAGAGCCAATGTGGAGTGAGCCTATTCATCATTTCCTTAAGCACATTTTCTGAGCACCTACTGTTTGCCAGGCACTACCCCCACAGCTGCCCTGGAGATACAGACATGGTGTTGAGTAAGACAAGTTATGTAAGCACAAGCTCCATGAGGACAGGACATTTTGTTGGTTTTGTTCACTTGCAGCTACTGATACATAGTAGGCCCTCAGTAAAAAAGAAACTACTGGTGCTTATAGCCTGGTCAGGAAGCTTGGATTCAAAAAGCTAATCAATGTGATTACTCAAAAGGAGATATGCCCAGGCTGTCTCACTTAATCTGTACCTAATCTTCCCAAGTTTCTAAACTCCCTCATAGCCCTTGTTTTTATAGCTGGGAAGACTGAGGCACAGAGGGCAGTCTCTACAGCCAAGGCCTTTCTTGCCTTTCAAATTGCAGGTCCCAGTCTGCAACGCTTTGCCTGGCTAACTCATATTCATAGTTCAGTTCTCAGTCAAAGTGCACTTCTGGGCTGGCCAGTTAGCTCAGTTGGTTAGCAGAGTGTTGTAACACCAAGGTCAGGGGTTGGATCCCCATACTGACCAACTGCAAAAAAAACCCAAAACAAAACAGGAGGGGGGGCACCTCCTCCAGTAAGTCTTCCCTGACCACTCTCCCCTCCAACCTGGTTGTAAGTTTGTCTCATAACCTGTGAAACCCTGGGGACAGGAAGCACACGGGCTCTGTCTCTTTTCATCTACGTTTCATACCTGGCTTGGTTCCTCGCACAGGGTCAAGAGCAAATGTTTGTTGAAAGTAGAGAATGGAAAGGTGAGTGGCCCTTGGGCATTGTGGGTAACCTTCTCACCAGGACTCACCCCTGGATGGCCAAATATTTTTAAATACTGTCTGGTGTGTAAGGGGCCAATTCATTTTCTTCTCTGCAGGACACCTGTGTCTTTGGCCATCTAGGTCCCATTGGAATCTGAACTAAGTGCTAAGTGCTGAACTAAGTCTCTTTTCTACCTCCAGGATCCTCTCTGTATTCATACTCTTCCTATAGCAACCTAGCTTAGCCCTCCTGTGTTCTTTACTCTTCTTCCTCCAGTTCAAGTGATTAGAATTCAGAACAAGCAATGGCAAGCCAACTGAGGAAACTCAGGTGACATACTTAAGTACTTAAAATTAGAAAGTAGCTAAATCTTGAGCTGTGTAATGCTAACTTAGAACAAAAGGAGTGCAGAGAGGGATGCATTAGAGGGTAACTCGTAGAGGAGAAGGGATTTGAACTGAACTTAGTAGAACAGATAAGATTCAGATAGGAAGAAACAGGAGGCAGGGCACTTCAGGTTTTATGACCAGCAAGAACAAGTGCCAGAGCGAACGTAAGTTGTGTGTGAGGACACTGGTGAGCACACAGAGGGGCTACGTAGAGGCCGTGCAGATGGTGAGCACACAGGCTCTATGCAGAGGCTGTGCAGATGCGATGTTACATGGAATGCTGTGTTAAACAGATGACATTTACTAAGTACTCTGAGCAATCTAATTTTCTATAGGGACTATATGAAAGTAAAATTTATTAATCTGTTAGTATTATTATTACCATCTGTAATGATGGCTGATGTCTTAGATTTATCTACTACCTTTTCACCCAAGAACTTTGACATATTGTATGGCTAGGGCAATTGTAGGAATCCTGCTGACGTACCAAATTGTATTCCTAGGTTAGGGCTCAGAGACCCTTCAAACCCACTGTACAGACTGGGTCACAGAACCCTCATATACAGACTGGGTCACCAATCCCTCATATGCCTGGGTGGGTCACCAGACCCTTCACACGCCTGGCTGGGTCACCAGACCCCTCACACACACAGGTCCATGAGCTAGGTAACTGGGAAAGATCCTAGGAGCTTTTGGCAGATGACACGAGATCAGTCCTCAGCTTCTTCAGCAGCACCAGCAGTGGTGGCCTCGGCAGGTCGCAGTGTATTAGAACTGTTCATCCTTTATAATTAAATTGGATAACCCAGGACACTTGGGTATGGAGTCTGGGTGCCTAGTGCACGTCTACATCAGACAATAGACAAGGAACACCTGGGCGCACGTGCATATTTACATCAAATGCTCGGCAAGGTTCTGAACATCTGGGGGCCCTGACCATTTTCTTATATTTTCCTTACATATATATTAATCTCACTTGTCTTCACCACAAATTAGGGTATAGGTGTCCTTGTTTTACAAATTATGTAACAGCCACTTGCCTGCAATGAAAAACTATGGTCCAGCAAATCAAACACCTCAGTTCATATGCATCTGCTGTTATATGCTTGATGTTTGCCTGTTCCTGAACTTTTCCCCTCCATAAAAAGAGATATTCACCTAAATGGTATGGTACGAGAGATGACTCAATTTTAACCTGGGTCACAATCTCTCTGAATCTATTTGTAAAGTGGGAATAAGACCTCACAAGACTACTGGAGAATTAAAGAAAACAATGTGGGTTAAAATGCAAATAAAGTAATATCTGTTGCTGCTGTTATTCTTACCTCACTGTAATGGATCAGAGCTGTGATTCTATGTATAGGAACTAGGCTGAAGTGCTCTGATATTGTTGGGAAAACAGGAAAATGGTCAGGGCCCCTCAGGTGTTCAGAATCTTGCTGAGCGTTTGGTGTAACTATACATGTGCGCCCAGGTGTTCCTTGGTTATTGCCTAATGTAACTGCACATGTGCACCCAGGTGTCCTGGGTTATGGACTTAAGTATAAAGTAAGACCAGTTCTGACCCACAGGGCCCTTCCACCCTGGGATGCCCCCCCGGGGGGGGGGGCACGGGGGGGCGGCTACTGCTGCTGGAAGCTGTTGCTGCCAGGGCCCCCGGGATCCTGCAAGAGGCGGCCACTGCCGCCAGACCTGTAAGCTGCTCCTGCCGTTGCTAAGGACTGAGCTCGTTGTCTGCCAGTGGCTCCTGGGATCTTTCCCAATTACCTAATATGGATCTGCATTGTGACGGGTCTATGACCCAGCCTGGCATGTGAGGCGTCTGGTGACCCAATCTGTACAATGAGTTTGAAGGGTCTAAGCCCTAGCCCTGACAATACAAATGGAAACTTAATATAACTAAAATAATGAAACTTTTTGGCTTTAGTTATAAAATGCCTAGCCATACAATTAGCGTAGCTATTGCCTCAACCAGACAACTGGCGAAGTCGTGTAGCTTTACAGATATACACAGTATTAATGTACTCGAACTATTACTCAAGAAACATGTTTCAGTTTATTGAGAAGTTGAGTAACTAGTTTCTTTTAAACTTTTGAGCCTACAGACACTAAGTAAAAGTGGCTAGCAAGTACAGCAGGATAACAGAAGCAATCTACCCCACTACCGCAGACCCAGCGACAAAGCCAAGGACACCATACAGCCATCTTTCAGTTGACAGGATTATCCACTCGGTGAATGACCTATGCCTAGGCTGGCACATAGAGATCTTGCCTGCCAAACATCACTGATTCCTAACATCTGCCTGGAGTCCTGTTAGAGGATGTCCAAGGCCATATCCAGACTCAGAAGAAAAGACTGTCAGATTGATTAGGAATACCTACCAGAGGTTAGAGAGGAGAAAGATATCTGCCTTCTCTCATGGCCACTTAGTTTTCTCCTGATGTTTTATTGTTTTGCTGCTCATTAATATTTCTAACAGATAATTAAAAGATTGAAACTGAAATAAATGTTTTATAATTTGTTAGCTACTTAGGCAAAAACCTTAGGGAAGAGATTGAAGTTAATGGATGAAGCAATAATGGGACTGGATTAGTAAATGAACACAGGGTACAGAAAAACCTGCATTGCATGCTATGGATTTCAAATACTTATGTCATCCCCAACAGCATGAATAACAACAGTGTATCTATAAATTCTAAATGATGAAGTTAGATACAAAAGGGGAAAGCAATTTATAGGATCGTTGTAAGTAATATTTTAAATTAGTCTTTATATGAAAGTTTGGTACATTTTGGGAGCAATTAAGAGCCTACCTTGAACACAGCTATCCAAAACAAACTCTCCAAGCAGAGAGCAGTTCTTAAGAGTGTTCACCATTGTATAAGCCACCAGTCACACAGCAGAACTGAGTACAGGGCTAGAAGGCAGACCTAGATTTAAAACCTGGCTCTGTCACTTAGCAGCAGGGTTACCCTTTGTAACATTTCTTAATGTCTTGAAGCCTCCGCTTCCTCATTTGTGGGGTTAAATGAGAAGTACGTTAAGTGTCCAGCACATAGTAGGCATGTCATAGCTGACACCCCCTGTATTAGTCCATTCCTGTTGCTTATAACAAAATACCTGAGACTGGGTGATTTATAAATTTATTGCTTACAGTTTCTGAGGCTGGGAAGTCCAAAGTCCATCTGGTGGTGGTGAAAGTGACCAAGGGGTCTCACATTGCAAGATGGTGGAAGCACAGAGAGCAGAGAGAGAAAGACAGACTCTCCTCCTCTTTTAAAGCCCTCAGAACCACACCCCAACCACCATTTTTAATCCATTCACTACTGCACGGTCCTACAATCCAATCACTTCTTCAAGGCTCCACCTTTCAATTACCATAATAGGAGTTCCCACCCTCTTAACAGGGGGCTGAGTTTCTAATACATAGAACTTGGGGGACACAATTCAAGCTTTGAGGAGTTTTGGGGCGACATACTTCAATCCACTACACCCCCCAATCTTGAATGGCCATAACAAGCAATGACAACCTGATATCTCAGTATTCTGTATGGAATCTCTCTGAAAGGTCAGGAAAAAACAATGAGGTGGAAGCACCCCTTACTAAGTGTCAAATCAGAATTCCCTCTTGTCCTTTCACATGCTCTAGGTTTCTCATTCTCCCTCCCCAGCCATCTTGAGGTCACAAAGAAAGACAGACTAACAGCTTTTGTACTAACTCAGAGCAAAAAGAGGCAGTAGAGCTAAGGGAAGGTCTCAGGCAGGAAAGAACCTTTTTTGAGACAAGAACCTTTTTGCCCAGGGAAAGATGAATAATAAATGAAACTACCAAAAAGTGATGGACAAGGAGGGGTTCATGCTATTGATGTACTTGAACTACTATTCAAAGAAACACATTTCTGTTTATTGAGAAGCTATTTGGCTTCAATTAGTTCAGTTATTCAATTTAATTTTTTAACCTTTGGACCCACAGATGTGAAATAATATACTAAATAGAATATAAAAAATTATGTTTTTAGTATATTATGCAGAGGCTATAAATATACTTGGTTGACAAGTAGACCAGGATACCAGAAGAAATCTACTCAAAGAAAATTAGAAATCCAGCCTATGTACACTATAGGTCTTGGTTTAAACAGTCACTTTTACCAAGTACAGCACTGTTGCTTACCACAGAAAAGATGTCCACAGTTCGTTTCCACAGGGAAGGAGGCTTGATGTAAACAGATTGGACAGTACATGTCAGTATAGAACTGCTGTCGAGCAATGGCAGGTGCATCCTGATGAGAAAATATGTACACACATTTTATATATGATATACATAGAGTTTTCAAAATTATCTTTGTGTTAAATTATATTTAAGAATACAGTCAATAGTGTGTAATTCTCATCAAATTTTGGGTGTGCAAACATTTAAGGTCTTCTAAGTTTGATAAAGTTATGAGGCTATATTGTTGTCTTATTTAAAATATATGCATGGTCTTTACCTTCCTTCCAGAACACAATTTAAAGATAAAACCTACATTAACTCAGGAGTTTTTCTTTTACTCTCTTGGAATGAGAAAGTTATTCTGAGTAACATAAGGCTAAGCTAATGCGTAAGCTGAAGAATAAGAAATGTCAAAATATTTTCTAAGTCTTAACTTTTTTTCATTTTTAACATCTTTTTAATTTTAACACTTGTCCTCTTGACAAATGTTGCATGTAGGCTATACCTCACATGAGACCAGAATTAAACTTTCGGAGAAGAATATTTGGTCTTTTTTTTTTTGTTTTTAAAGATGACCGGTAAGGGGATCTCAGCCCTTGGCTTAGTGTTGTCAGCACCACACTCAGCCAGTGAGCTAACCAGCCATCCCTATATAGGATCCGAACCCGTGGCCTTGGTGTTATCAGCACCACACTCTCCCAAGTGAGCCACGGGCCAGCCCTATTATTTGGTCATTTTGAAAGCAGAAAAATTTAAGATCACTGGTAACTTGAACTTAATCCTTCACATAGTCATAGTAATAAATATGTTTCTCGGTTACATCACTGTTGTGATCACATAGGAATACTGAGTAGAATTACCAGTACAAGAAGCATCCAGATCAAAGATCCCACTAGAACGTAAGTGCCATGAGGGCAAGGACTTTATCTGTGGGACTCATTGTACTATCTCGGAACCTAGAAAAGTGCCTAGCACTAGTACATAATGTATATCTATTAAAATAGTTATTTATCAAAACCTGTTTGATAGCACCTAGCACACATAAACAAAGTAGCTGGCATTAAAAACATGTAATTACATCTAATACAGAAAAAAGTATCAAGGTTGCTTAATGTGAACTCTTCTTAACTGTATATTGAATCAAAGATTTTTGCCACCCAATATAATAAACCATAATTAAAATTTCATATTTCTTAAAACAGCCCTAAATTACCAGAATATTCTATAATGCAAGGTCACACCTTGATGTTGTTTATGTCAGTTGTAATGGTACAAAAAAGAAAAATGTGCAGCACTTAATGTTCTCTCCACCCATTCTCTTCATTTTTTTTTTTTTAAGAAATTGACAAGGCCGGCCCGTGGCTCACTCGGTAGAGTGCGGTGCTGATAACACCAAGGCCACGGGTTCGGATCCTATATAGGGATGGCCGGTTTGCTCACTAGCTGAGCGTGGTGCTGACAACACCAAGCCAAGGGTTGACATCCCCTTACCGGTCATCTTTAAAAAAAAAAAAAAAAAAAAAAGAAATTGACAAAAAAACCTATTAACAATGCTGTCCAATATAACTTTCAGCAAAAATGGAAATTTTTATCTGTGCTGTCCAATATGGTAGCCACTAGCCACATGTAGCTACTGCGTGCTTGAAACGTGGCTAGTGTGACTAAAGCACTGAATTTTAAATTTTGTTTAATTTTAACTTAAAATTAAATTAAAGTTAAATTTAAATGTGGCTAGTGACTACCATCTTGGATAACAACCCAGAATACATTAAGTTATTACCTTTGTTTTAACTCTAAGACCTACATGCCATGCCTGAGAAAGATGTGCGGTAGATGAATAGGACAGGGGTGCAGAGAAATCTGGAAGAGTCATCTTAGTCTGTGATTCATGCATAGCTAAACCTGTTCAGCTAATAATATATAATAGCTTCTGTGAACTTAAAAAAAATCTTAGTGATCTAATATGATGAGAATAATAATAGTTGCCTTATTTATCACGTTTGAAGATTAAATAAGATAGTTGTTTGTGAAATTGCTTGTTAAGTTAAAAAACACTATCCCAACATGAACTCTTGGTAACAACACTTCTGGAACAGAGTACTACTAATATGCTCCAACTGTTCTTACATGAATGAATTTAAGTTTCATGAGGGTAGGAATTTTTGTTTAGTTCACAGTCAAATTCCCAATGGCTAGAGCAAGATCTGGCATATGGTAGATGTTTAAAAGATATTGGGTAAATGGATAAATTATAAAACCCTCATTGGAACTAAAGATTGATCGGGTAGGAAAGCAATCCCTAATTTTTGCTTTTTTTTTTTTTTTCCTTTTTGTCTTTTTTTTGTGACCGGTAATGGGATCGCAACCCTCGGTGTCGCACCCACACCGCGCTCAACCAGTGAGCGGACCGGTCTCTACATGGGATCCAAACCCTCAGCGGGAGCGCCGCACTCTACCGATTGCGCCACCGGGCCGGCCCCTAATTTTTGTTTTTTGATGTTAGCTATCTCAGCATGGAGGTCTACAATATCCTACTTATTCCAGCCTTCATAAAGCATATTACATTTCTGGTTCTTAGAGATTCCATCTGGTATAAAGCAAAGACGAGGCAGAGGAGAAAAGTTATCTTTTCCGCCTAACTTTGTTTTGTTAACTTAGACCACTGAAGAAAAAAGGGCGTTGGGGGTGGGGGGGGACACAAAAAACCAGCGATACCCTCTAATCATTTTTTTGTAGGTCATATCTTCCTACTTCTTAGGAAGTTTATGTTAGAAAAAAATAGTTTTCTCACTACATTTCATTAAAGCCAACTAGACAATTATTATTTCTGCACAAATAAATAATATAAAAACTGCTGCCGTTTAAAGCAAGCTAATTAAGAAACAAAACATGAAAACACCTGGATACATTAAGAGTAAGCCATTTGCCTAATCTGAAAATATACGATCTATAGGATAATTTAAAATAATTTGAAGCAGGAAAGAAGCCCATGTTTCCAAAAAGTGATTTAGTAATGTTTCATCACAATATCATATGCAACAGGAGTTATAACATCTATTCCTTACATAAATGCACTTATTTACATAACAGTACCTGTTCTGTTTGAAGTTGTTCTCGAAGTACCCTTACTAGCTCTTGGTTTTCTGGATGAATATTTTGATGTACATTTCTGTTGAAAGAATATAATAAACTTTGGATATAAAATATTGTCAGATGAATCCATTTTTCTTATGAGTGTAATTTTTGACTTAGAATAACTGGTAACTTAATAAGTGTAAATGATGGCATACAACTGCACTCCAGTTCCAGACTCTACATTCCAGGTTATTCTGCGTTGAGTTCTGAGATCACCGATCATTAGCTGATTTCAGGTTTACCTGGCAAATGATAAAATCCAGAGACCTAGTACCTTAGGGATTTCTTGTAATTGCAAGCTTATAAATAATACAAAGAACAATTAATACATTTATTTCTTTTGTGAAATTCCTTTAAAAAAAGCCCTATACAATTCTACATATTATTATGCATTTGAACACTTTTCCACATCTAATGAGGTCTTTCTCCTAACTTTTCAGGTATGAGGAGAGGTGGACAGAGTAGAAAATAAAACTCTATAATGTGGAAAAGTCAAAACTTAATATACCACTAATATCTTAATATTAATAATTAAAATGGAGAACCAAAGGCAAGAAGTTAGTGGCTGATATAAATGGGTGGGATAAGACATGACAGTATTGAAAATTAGAAGTGATGGTCAGGTTGGTAAGGTGGGATAAGGATTTATATCTGAATCACAACTTGATTTAACTTGGCTGTAGATTTTTTTCCTACTTACTTAACATAACAATAACATTTTTATTTATTTGTTTGTTTGTTTATTTATTTATTGGTGGCTGGCTGATATAGGGATCTACATAATCCCAGGGTTACTCTACAGAAGAACCTTTACTCTCTGGTTAAGCCAATATACAACAGATATAAGAACTCTGATAACCAATGGGATAGGGAAAATTAAAGAAATCCATCTTATGATTATTCATGTCAGTAAAAAATACAAATAGTGGAAAAGAAAGCTGACAAAAATATAACCATTAGTTCAGAGAAGACTTAAGGGGGATTTAAAGTCAGATATTTAAACAGAAGCTTGACATAAATGTAAAGAAACTACTTGAACTCTGTTTAAACCCCTTAAATTTTGGTGGATTCTTTATTATAAAAAACATTAAATTTTTATGACTGAATAAATGATCTATGAAAGAAAGCTACATCTATATGAATGCAATCTGTCAAGGAGCAATCTATCTAGCCCAGGAACCTTCTCATTTGAATGCCAGTGAACACTTAGCTAAATGGCATTTCTCTGTTCTTTGAGAGTGGAAAACCATTCCCTTTCCATTAAAAAAAATAGTGATGACTTTTCAGAGTATGGACATGAATCATGTGGCTGGAAGGTCTTTCTTTTGGTTTCTTTCCATAAAAGAGAAAATGTAGAAATTTAAAAATTTGCTAGTAAAGTATTTGAAAAGTCAAAGTATAGCCAAATAACAAAAACAAACAGCTCAAGCTACTGAATACAACCTGTACCTCAGGTACTTAAATGTGATTGGCAGCTATGGGTACATAACCAAAAATCTACAAAATGACAGGATTTTTCCAAACCCTTGATCTTGGTGTTATCAACACCCATTGTAACCAACTGAGCTAACTGGCCAGCCAATAATGGCATTATTAAGGCAGATTGCCAAAAAAAAACCAAAAAACAAACAAAAAAAAACAGATTGAAAGCCAGACTACAAAATCTGGTACGTAAGATCATCTTAGCTGTGAGAAATGACAGGGCATTTGACACTCAGTAGGTCTAAAATAAGATGCCAAGGAAGGTGGTGGCTCTAATATAAAACTGAAATACATTTGTTGTTATTAGTGTTTACCAATGATTTATGGTTCTTCTTTGTTCTTTGAAAGGGGTCCCAAACTATCAAATCAGTTAAGCTGTGTGCAGCCCTGGAAAAGAGCTAGGAACCCTGGATCAAAGAGTACAAATGTGCAAGACCCTTTTTTGGAGGGGGGGGATATTTTTTTTTGTGGACAAGACTCTTTTGACTGGCTTCTGGTGTGTCAACAAATGGCAACTAATATTAATAGCTTAAGAAGGAAGAACAAATTAAAAAGATTAAAAAATTATAACTACAAAACACTGCTGAAAGAAGACAAAAATAAATGGAAAGCCATTCTGTGTTGATTGTACTGTTAAGATGAAAATACCTGGGGCTGGCCTTTGGCTCACTTGGGAAAGTGTGGTGCTGATAATACCAAGGCCACAGGTTCAGATCCCTATATAGGGATGGCCGGTTAGCATATTTGGGAGAGCGTGGTGCTAACACCACCAGGTCGAGGGTTAAGATCCCCTTACCGGTCATCTTTAAAAAAAAAAACTACCCACAGTGTTCTATCTACAGATCAATGCAATCGCTATCAAAATCCCAATGGCATGCTTTGCAGAAACAGAAAAACTCATCCTAAAATTCATATGGAATCTCCAGGAACCCCCAATAGTCAAAACAACCTTGAAAAAGAACAAAATTGGAGGACACACACTTCCTGATTAAAAACTAACTACAGGCTGGCTGGCTAGCCCAGCTGGTAAGAATATGGTGCTGATAACACCAAGGTCCAGGGTTCAATCGCTGTACTGTCCAGTGATTGTACTGTACCCTCCCCTACCCCCCAAAAAACTGAACTTAGTACAAAGCTGTAGTAATCAAAACAGGGTAGTACTGTCATGGAATACAAAATATACTCCAGAAATAAACTCTCACATACATGGTTGCCAAAGACAGAATGTTTTTGTCCAGTCCCCACAGCCCCAAAATCCAAATGCTGAATCCCCAGTGTGATAGTATTTGGAGAAGAGAACTTTGGGAGGTAATTATATCATGAGGGTGGTGCTGCCATGATGGGATCAGTGCCTTTATAAGAAGAGACATGAGAGAGCTGTGGCCTGTCTCTGCTCCCTGCAATGTGAGGATAGCAGAAAACAGCTATCTGCAAATCAGAAAGTGAGCTCTTGCCAGACACTGGATCTGCAAAACCCTTGCTCTTGGACTTCCCTGCTCTGGAACTGTGAGATACAAATGTCTGTTGTTTAAACGACCCAGTCTATTGGTTATTTGTCTTATAACAGCCCAGACTGACTGAAACAATGATCGATTAATATTTGACAAGGGTGCCAAAACTACTCAATGGGGAAAGTACAGTCTTTCAACAAATGCTTTTGGGAAAACTGAATATCCACATGCAAAAGAATGAAATTGGACCCTTACCTCACACCACTACAACAATTAACTCAAAATGGATCAAAGACCTAAACTTAAGAGTAAAAACTGTAATTTTAGGAAAAAACATAGAGGAAAATCTTCATAATTTGGATTTGGCAATAGTTTGTTAAATAAGAGCACAGGGAACAAAAGAAAATATAGATAAATTGGACTTCGTCAAAATTAAAAACTTTTGTGCATCAAAGAACACTATCAGGAGAGTGAAAAGAAAATTCATGGAATAGGAGAAAATATTTGTAAATCATATATCTGATAATAATATCAGAACATTTAAAGAATTCTTATAACACAAAAAAAAGGTAAACAATCCAAAAATGGGTGAAGAACATTTCTCCAAAGAAGACATACAAATGGCCAATAAGCATATGAAATGATGCTCAACACCATTACTCATTAGAGAAATGCATATCAAAACCATGAGATGCTATGTCACATAGACAAACATGGCTATTATCAAAAAACAACAGAAAATAAGTTGTGGCAAGGATGTGGAGAAACTGGATTCGTGTATTGCTACTGGGAATGTAAAATAGGGCAGCTGCTGTGGAAAACAATTTGGAGGTTCCTCAAAAAGTTAAATGTGGAATTACCCTATGACCCTGAAATTCCAGTTGAGACCAGGGACTCAAATAGATACTTGTATACCAGCATTCTCATAACATCATTATTCACAATAGTCAAAAAGCAAGAATAATCCAAATGTCCATTGACAGATGAATGGAAAAATAAATTGTGGTATATTCATACAATATTATTTAGCCATTGCTATGGGTCACATGTATCCCCCCAAAGTTCATTTGTTGGAAACTTGATCCCCACTGTAACAGTGTTAAGAGAGTGGGAAATCTGATAGTGGTATTTGAAAGGTAAGGTAGGAAGTGATTAGATTATGAGGACTGTGCCCTCGTGAATGGGTTAATACACTCATGGGTTATCAGTGACTGGTCCTGATGGCTTTATAAGGAGAGCAAGAGAGAAGGTTAGCTCTCTTGTTCTTGTTCTCGCCATGTGACACTCTGATCACCACAAGACCCTGTAGAGAGTTCCCACTCAGAAGAATTTCCTCGGGCCGGCCCGGTGGCACACTGCTACAGTGCGCCGCTTGAGAGTGCGGTGGCGCTCCCGCCAAGGGTTCGGATCCCACATACAGACCGGTTCCCGCTCACTGGCTGAGCGAGGTGCGGGAGCAACACCGAGGGTTGCGATCCCGTTGCCGGTCCCGGTCCGGTACGGGCGCGACACTGAGGGTTGCGATCCATTGCCGGACACGGAAAAAGACAAAAAGGAAAAAAAAAAAAAGAAGAAGAAGAATTTCCTCACCAGATATGCTCCTCTGGACCTTGGACTTCCCAGCCTCCAAAACGGTAAGAAAAAAATTCTATTTCTTTATAAATTACCCAGTTTCAGGTATTCTGTTATAAGCAACAGAAAATGGACTAATACAGCCATAAAAAGGAATGAAATTCTGATACGATGGTAGCGTACAACACAGACTTTGAAAACATTATGCTACGTGAAATAAACCAGACACAAAAAGACAAATATTATATGATTCTACTTTATGACCTACCTAAAATAGGCTTATTCAACAGAGGTAACCACAGTCTGGGAGAGGAGGAATATGGAGTTACTGGATGAGTACAAAATTTCTGTTTGAGATGATGAGAACATTCTGGAGGCAGAAGCTACCTGACACTGTGAAAATCCTCAATGCCACTGAATTGCACACTTACAAATGGTAAATTTTACATTATGCATACTTTACTCAATACAAAAAACCCCATTAATTGTAATGACTAAAAATATCAAAGAAATTACAAAAAAGAGAAAA